TAACAATGCTTACCCTGATAATTTTGATGGCATTTCACGCCGAGAATATTTCAAAGCTTAACAGTGTGTTGATAGTGCCAGCAACTAGTGTATAGCTTGAATTTGAACACCTATGCATGTTTGCTGCGCTATAGAACTGGCGCGCTACCAGGCTGTTCATCTGACGCTGATCAGTTGAGGCTGATCGAGAACTTGCTAAACTGGTGCAGTGAAATGAATATAAAACAGAATATTTAAACTCCAACGCAGACTGTTGTCAGGTGGATGTTTAAATTGGTTGTTTTATTTCATGATACAGTCGAGTACGCATAACCTCACAGTGTCATAGCACAAGTCTTACAATGGGTAAATGAGTTGATAGAATTCCCCAATGCACTTGATTTAATAATTTGTTCATGCATAATACCACATCCTCCTGTCGGTCCGGTTGGCTAAACCAGCGTCAAATAACATCAGTTCAATTCCCCCACCCCCCATCCCCACCCTCACCCCCACCCCCGCTATACTGACATGAATCTTTCAATGTTTTTCTGAAACCAGCAAAGCATACGAGCAGCAAAAGAACAGTCGTCCAATGAAGTGCAGCAGATTTCTGTGCTGCTGGTATTCGAGCATTAGGTATCTTAACACAGCAGCATCAATTTAATCCCCACAATCACATCAGCTTTTAATCGTTTGCCACTCCTCATTACAACAATTTTGCAACTGACCAATTTTTTCTTAATCTTGTCATCAGGGACATAGATCAAGATGGCTAAAATCCAAGGATTAATTAGGATTTGGGAAGAGGTCAGGTCAGCTTTATTGGAACAGCCTTCCCAATCAATTTTAGAAAGCGACGCGCCTGCTAACTGACATGTCGGCATACCAGTCGGCAAATGATGGCAGGTATGCTAACAAGATGCTTGGAGCGGACAGAATTCTGTGCCAAATAGCATTGTAGGCCTCCCCATTTAATGCAATTTTTCCGCCTTATTTAACCCCGAAAACACGATCCACCATCATATTTGGTCATATTCTGTGACCTTGCTAATTTTGTGTCATAGTACACAAAAGTATGCCTCCCACGCTGTCATATTTACGAAGCACTCTCAACCGTGCAGATACCCCAACACGCTGCGTCTTCAATGCTTACCGCTCGGGGCTATTTTCAAAATGGCGGCTGTGTTTGGATCCGTCGCAACGCAGATGTCATCACCAACGGATGTAATCACCTAAGTTGTTGACATTCCTCAAAAGCCCAAAAGTTAACCAATGCAATGTAAATGGCATATAGCGCTGTAGCGAGTGATCTTGAGAACGGCTATCTCCGTTCAACAGCTCACGGTGCTCGGCACGGCCCGTCCTGCCCTCTGACGTCACCTGACCTTATGCGCGGCCATTGCTACCGGCCACGGACAATTCTAATCAGGGGCACATAGCGAGAGGCTGAGGCGACTCGAATCCACTACGTGACTGGTGGGTGAATTGGAAGGCAGGGGTTGCAAGGAACTGAAGGACGTATAATGCAGTCAAATGCCTCGAAAGTGTATTGAGAACCAGTGATATATGCTGTGAGAAATCTAAAGGAATTTACTCGTAGGCAGTGCATGGTTGCCAAACAAGTACCTCATAACCGTCAGATGGTTGGAACTACTGAAAACGCCTTCTAGCGCTACGGTGTCTAAAGATAGGAAAATATATATAACAAGCGGGTTTCAAACACCAATACCTGGTCAAATCCAGGCCATGGCTGACAGCGAACGCAACTCCGGGAGAATCGTCGAATAGGATGCGACAGCGTAGTGTCTTAGAGCCTTAAAAGAGAAGTCATACGACTTCGGTGTAACTTCTTTGACAGCATAACCCCGAAAATTGCATCACACTTATAACGGTGACCTGTGGTCAGATATGAAGGTCAGATCAAGGTCAACACCAAACTGCTGTATTGTTGGTAAATTTGCTGAAGGTGGTCGTTCTGAACGTGACGCTTGGATGGCAGTTTTCGAATTCATGTGCTAGAACAACGTCAACAGATGCCTTAAGTTGGCTGCATAAAAATCATGGGGGCCACTGGCATAAAACGACCGCGATCAGAATTTTGTGTTGAGGAGCATGTCTCCTGCGTTAGTACTTAACGCAGATTGCAAACACAGTTATCAAAATAATCCAGAAAATTGTTTGACATTTCTTCCTTCCAAAGGTCAAATAACGTCGCTGACCTTATACAAACACCACAAAATAGAACACAAGTGGATTATCATGCAGCTCTACACCGTTTGTGTATTTGTTGTATCTAGTTCTCTTACTTTTTTAGATTGTAGCGGTCAAATTGATTTCCTACGCCTGCCCACTCCACGTCCGTGCGCGTCGCATTCAACCTGCCACTTGGGCGCACGTTTAAGTTGTCAACATGTAAGTAGGATTAGCCCGGTCTGCAACTTCAACCGTGACTATCAAGTTGTAGGCTTTTCATCGCTGGTATTGTGCTATTTTGAACTCCTCTCTGGTATTTTTTCTAAGGTATTGTAGTATTCTTTTTAGGGAGAAACCGCATTACAGCAGTGTCAGTTGACCTGGCGTCATGCTTTTGCTTGGCTACCCCAATCATTCAAGGCACAAATATATATTTTCGTCATTACGAGCCTCGCGCAGAAGGAAAGCTGCAGGTTTGAAAACTTGCTTTCTCTGACTACCCAATGAAAATGACTTCCTTTTTAAAAGTGTCCACCTGTCGCACAAAAAAACATTTTAGCATGTGACGTACAAAACACAATAGGAGAATCGAGATAATACCATGAGATGCATGCCGCTCTTGCTTTTATGACGGATTTTGCGTTCCACCTTCGAATGATGTTAAATGTGCGCTGTGGGCCTGGCTCTTAAACCATTATGTTCTCCGGGGCAGAGGCCCAAACTGGGTTGCGCGTCATGTTTAACACGTACCCGGGTGTCTGGTTGAGTAATCTTAACTCGGTTGTAGGGGAGGGGAGGGGTACAATTTGGCCCTCCTTAGATGTCGACATCGATGAAATTTGGAGACACCAAATTAACAGGGTATGATGGCTTGTACGAAAACCCGCTTATGTCACAATTTGGGGTTCGTAGGTCCATAACCTTTGGGTAAAAGAGGGTACAACAACGTCAAACTCCAGATCGTTGTTCCTCAGTGCCCTCAGACCTCCTCATCCAACCGCCTTGAACCAAGATACTTGTTCATTACAAAAGGTCACCGGTTTTCTTTCAGGGTCAGCGGCCTTTTCTGAACTTTAGATGGTCGTGGTTGTCAAAACCCACTAAATTGCTTTTGTCATACCATACGAAAAAGTTTCATGAATTACGCTAGGCGGTATGTCACCAACAACAAAATGTTCAGCTGGATCATTTTAGGTCAGCAACCTACTCTAAGCCGTAAGAAATCCATGAAATATATCTGTTGTGTTCCCTGTTATCCATCAATTAAGAATAATAACCAGAAATCCACCCCATAAAAAGTGCGCCCCTGAAAAATACACCTGGCTTTTGAATTCGCTTTGACCATATTGGGCCCTAGGTGATTTCGTTATCGCGTTACATTGAACGATTCTTTAGAAATTGCCTTCTCTGACGACCACCGCCTGACTAATCTGCCATAGGTCAGTGACATGACAAGATACATATATTTTTATACCAAAAACCTTTGCGGGTCAGTTGCCAACAGCTATGCAAAGTTTGATGTTGCCACGCTGCGTCATTCGGAAATCCTTCTGGAAGAACATTCGGACACACTGACCCCCCCCCCCCCCCCCCGAGTGCGTGGCAAACCCTGCTCGCCATGAAGAACAATTTTCGGACCTGGAAGTGTTTCCGTAGCCACCTACATAGTTCAAGGCGTATGACAGAATCAGTATCAGTAATAACATGCACTCGAGCGGGGATGAAATTGATTCCCGAGGGTTTTTTCCAAAACGGTTTCCGAACGGTGCGGCTTAAACGCGCCAAATTTTGCATGGCTGTAGACAATTAAATATCAGATCGCTTAATATGAAAAATTGCATGTACATGGCAAGGTCGCTTACCTATGGCTGGTCAAAGTCAGACCATGGGTCCAGCAAAGGCAATTTCTAGAGAATCGTTTAATCTGAAGCAAAACAGGGTGTTTGACGAAGCCATACATCTCTGAGATGCTTTCTTAAGCAGCACAATGGCTGAATGAGCAAATCACATTGACCTAAGTTCAGGTATGAAGGTCAGACCAAGGTGAAAAACAATCCGTTTTTTACTCTGGGGCCTGCTGTATGGAATAGTTGCTGGTGCTCATTTCGAATTTACTGATAGCAAGAACCTCATTATACATCTTCCTTGACTTGCACGAGGTCAGAATAGGTCGTTGACCTAAGATGACCAAGGTCAACATTTCGTTCTAGGAACATACTGCCTAGCGTAATTTTGTCGCTTATTCAAATGCCAAACTCAGAGCAGTATTGTATGATTTTGTCACCACGACCTTGAAAAGGTAAAACAAGATCACTGACCTCAAATGAGCTTGTGACCTTTTGCTTAGAAACAGTTTTCTAGGATTCTGGGGGCACTTTGGAGACCAGCCTGGAATTCGAAATTATTTGACCCTATTTGACCTGAAGATCATAAACTAGGCAGCTCAAACTTTGACCCAAGTAAGTCCATCTACAGGTCAACACACCCTGTATATTTGGTGTTTCTAGCTTTCTTAGTTCCCGAGATCTTAAGGGGTCAAATTGACCGCGCCCCCACCCGAGCGAAGGATACCTAGCCGGCCAACCGGGCGCGTTTACAGGTAAATGCCAGTTGGTTGTACAGTTGGTTGCAAAAAACAGTTGGCCACCAGAAAGCATGTCGCACTATCCGCGACATTCCTGAGGATTGAAAGACGTTTCCTGTACTGTTTTTCAGTGTTTGTGTATGTGCCAACCACAGCATAATTCTAGCGCATTGCGCGACCAGTCAAAGTAAACACTTAAGCATTTTGCTAACGTGCCGTTCCTCAGACAAGATGAGGCATCGATATAGCATTTGTATTCCGTTCAGGTCAACATGTTTAGGTCCCATGATTAAATGCTGGGAAACATTATATCACAATCACAATCGAATCTATATTAACGCCGTTTGTAACTGTCAAATCAACGGACACTGCAAGATCAGCTAGCTAAAATCATTATCATACAGCCATATCGTGCATATCAATAAAATACAACGTACAAAAAGTCACCATCATCACGCTATCGATCACGCGGCAGGAAGTACACCCCAGAAGGAAATACACTTTAAATTTGTCTCCAAGGAACATTCTGAACTGTCAAGGCACCTTTTTACAGGTACCGTTGAGGTTGGTAGATGGAAGAAGCCATCCCACAATAAACGCTGTCGGTGCGCTTGTCTGGAATGAAACAATCTCTACTACAGACGACTGACTTCACTAGGCCAACAAAAGCCGTTTATGCTCCGAGTCTAAATGGTATGACCTCCCCCACCAGCAGCTAATAACACTGCCAACGGATCACTTCTTCCAGGCTCTGAACGCCACGACGCCTCCGGCAGACAGCTGACACCATCGTCGATTAACGGTGCGCAACATGTCCGACATCCCGCCGGCAAAGAAGCAAAATCCGCTTTTCACATTGTCTTCATTGGCTCTGCAAACGATGGGAGTTGTCAGGGTCTTAAACTAGTTTTTGCTTTCCGCTTTACGTAGGTCTGAGTTTGAGCGAAGTTGTGATATATCGCAATGCAAAGCAACAGCCGAACTATTCATTTTAGCTGCTTGCCGGCTGCATTCTGCAAACAGCCACGAGACTACCCTGTGTTTGCACGGTTACCTCCCTTCCAGGCGCCTCACATACACACCTGAAAACGGCTCTGACATTAGGACTATCAGCGTTGTGTGATATGAATTCAGCTACAATCACGTGTTCCAGAAAAATCTGAAAAAGATCCACCTCTGCCTAATGTTGTAATCTAAGTCTAAGTCTGAGCCGGCCAGTTCCATATTGATTTCGTCAGAGTTCTAAGCTGGATGTTGGCATACTGGGTCTGAGTGATCGGCTATGATCCTTTTCCGACTCTGTGTTGAATGCTTGAGGTCTTTTTACACAATAGTCGTGCAAGTGTCAGAGACGTGGTTTCAGTCTATCAACGAAATGTTTTCTCTTTGTTCGTGTATCGTGTTGCTTGCCTTTCTGTGTTTAGTCATCAAAAGCATGTCACTAAATCAAAGACCATAGATAACACATCTGATGTGTATTCGAGTTGCAAATATTGCTTGTTCGATGGGTCAGGCACATGCCCACGACATGTGGCTGAGTCCTGTTGAGACTGGTTCTGTAAGCTGAATTCCATCTCAGTTCCCAAGATTTTCTAAGCGTTAGCGCTCGACTCTGGTTCACGCGCGTTTTGGTTAGTGTGCATCTGAGCTCATGTCCACTGTTTTCAATTACTGCATCTTTTAAAGATTTTACTCGAACCTTTCGCATGAATGAATTTTTAGGACCAGACCTCATGTAAACCAGTGTTTATAGTGTGGGCCTCGACTCCCTATCACCCGATCGTGCATTCCAGGTCTACGGCAGTATTTGGTGGTGATAGTTTAAGGTGTCATATTGATCGGCACGGTCCACCCTTGTCTTTAACATCACCTAACCTTTTAGCGTGCCCGCTTCCAGCGGCCATATGCCCATACCTGTCAAGGTAAAAAGGAAGTGTAAAAAGACTCCAACCCACCGCACCACGGGTGGGTGGATCGGAAGCCATACGCTCTAGCCAACTGAGCTATCGGACGAGCCCGAGGGTGCAACTCTGAGAATGAGTGTCTCAGAATTACATTAGTTCAGACTCTGTTGCCGGTCCGGTAGGACACAAAGCTGTGTTTGGTCTAGAGATGTCAATCATCTGAATGTATCCAAAACTTGTTGAGCTCTGCTTCTTTCCAATGGACGGCTTAGTGGGCAACGTACTTGCGGCCACTTCCGTAGACTTAGTTTTCTGTGGAGACCTCGGCAAAACAATGATGTCAGCCACCGCGCCATGACACATTTCATGTAAAAGCCAATTAAGCTGGTGCTATCACATCGCGGGCGGGTGGATTCGACATTCATTTGGACCGCGACAGCAATATCCGTACTCACAACAGATATACGGCTTCCCGAGCCGTGCCAAAGCCATACAGAGCTTTGCAGTAGTACGAGCCGAGCTCTGTTTTCTCCAGATGAGTCCTCCAGAAAAGGGGGTCTCTCTCCGGCCGACGCAGCTGGTAACACGCAAGCCTCTTGGTATACTCTGTGGAACACAAAATAAACGCGCTTTTACAAGCTGAAGCCCAGCTGGAAGCTTAGTGAAGCTAGGGAATGGCACCGGCGCAATAGCAAATGCAGGGGAAGGGCATTTTGTTCATCCCCCACCCACACATTCAGAGCCAAGAGTATCAACAATATCAATCAATGAACACACAAGCAGTCATGGCTTTTGCTTACTGGAAAAACGAAAACTGCCAGGAATGCGTTAGTTTGCTGGAAGTCGAACTGGGTGACAAAAAAGAACGAGCAGGGAAACACTCAATAATGTTGATTCTTTTATGAGCCTCAATCTGGAACATATTTATGGGAGTATATGGATGTATGACATATTTCACCAATTGTCATCACAATTATACATATGAACAACGTACCCTTTACACAGAGGGTGGCCGGTTTGGGGGTTTATTTGAAAGAAGCAAGACACAGATAGGCATGACTTTATGTACATGCAACAGACTGAGCATAAGTAAAAGCAAAGATGAAAAAGTAGGTGACCCTCGCCAGTTTTCGCCACAGGATGCAACTGTTCTAAAAATGAGTAGGTAGGAGATCCTCGCCATTTTTCGCTGTGCAGGTTGGCTACATTGGAGATTAATAGGCAAGCGGCCTCTGCTGTGTTCGTCGAGAAAAAGGGAAATAAAATATGTGCATCAAAACAGTAAAGTAGGTAACACTAATAGCAAGATAATAACAAGCATAGTTCCCAATGTCATTTTAAAGGACGATGTATGCATGTTTGCATGTTTTTGCATGTTTGCATGATGATGATGATGTTTTTGTCTGGTGGGCATAACAGGGCACAAAATGAGTTGAAAAAAACAGCTAGAGGCGAAAAGCTGAAATGCATTAAAAATATTAGCGTTCAGGGGACAAACCAGGCTAAACACTGCTCATACGCACACAAAGGGTTTAAAACGGGCCACGTGTAAGCTGTTAAATCGAAATATAGGTGGGTTGGTCAGTGCGTTAGGCTGTACGGCATCACGCCTCCCCTAAAGCCCGAGCGGCTGGATGCGCCACGGCATCGGTGCATTATCATGGCCCTTGCCCCCCCCCCCCCCTCCCCCAGCCCACGTCGGCAGTTTCGGGCAACTAGTGCTAGCTTTGGTGTAAAAATGTGTTTCGCTTGTCACCTCGGGTGGCTTTGGGTTCACATCACGCGCTGAGCCATATTTGTTGCGTGTGCCCGGAACCCACCACTCAAGGCGCGCCGATCCGTTAGTGGGAGGACCCTTGCTCCTTAAAGAGAATATCACGCTTGTTTGTACTCTTCCCTTATTGTTGCATCAGACGCGCACGATTTGATTCATAGCCTCAGTTGCTCGAAATCCTTCAGAAGAGCTTATAATTGCTAATTACTTTTTCCTTGCAAAATTCCCCAGCCCACCATGAACGTAAGGTATTTCATTTGCCTTAGTTTTTCAACGTGTGCTTTGTGTAATGTTTGCGGCACACCTATGAGTCAAAATGTTTCTGTAATGAATGCTACCAAAGCTTAATGCATTCTGTTTAAAGGGGAATGTTCCACATTCATACGCTTTTTAACTGGAATAATCATTTTTAAGACCTTTCGGTGCTGTACATAATTTTGCCTTTTTAAGACCTAAGCCCACCCCCCTCCCCCTAGTTTCTGAGCTACATGCCCGTGAAAATGGGGAAAGGTATATTGAAGAGAGTATTTCTAAGTCACATTTGCATTCGTGACATCATAAAATGCCATTAAAATCTGCAATTTCATAAGCCATGCAGCCATCAAGGTCAACGTCTAATTTTCGAGGCATTCATGTCTGGCGTTCGTGAGCGCGATTTCAAGATATACCGGCCGTCAATTGGCTCTCAATCAATGATGTGCAAGGCCCGATAGCAATCAAACCATGGCGCATTGAGGAGCATATTTACTTAACAGAGAATTGGGATATCTAGGGCAGTCTTTTCCACTTAAAAAGTATATCAACAGGGATAAAGGAGCTTGCATCATCATAATTGATGCTCGCTTTAATATCTTCAAAAATGAAACATTCCTTTTATCAAACACTGCGTAAATGCCGCTACTATCGCACGAATCACAAAGCTCTTTTATTCGCACCAGTAGAACTGCGCAAGGTCATTGTCTTTACGAAGGCAGTCACGACTACAAGGAAAAACGCAGTACTGGGCAATGATTTTAAAAACCGTAAGCAACGTGATTCGGACCAAAAAATAACTAAACCTCATATGCTTATTATGTCTTGACGATGCTGCAGTGGCACTACTCAGTGCTATTGTTAAGGGTAACTAGTCCTGATATTTCCAAGAATAGTTTGCGAAATATACCCCAAAAGTAGGACACTCCGTTTAAACCTGCTTCCGTCCGGACTTTTTCACGCTCAATATGTCGAGGACTCCAATCCCCCCCCCCCCTTTACTCTTAAGATCTTGGACGTTTTTGTAACAGGAACTTGGGCGTGGACTCAAACGATTTCTAGTTACGCGATTTACCCTGTATGCACTGCATACTCAAAATTTTGCCACCACAGTATGCAACAGAGCTAACAGAAGGGGCCTTAAAATGTAACGTAAATGAGGCATGCATAGCAGTATCAAATGTTACCTTGAGATGCACTAGCCCATTCAGATTATTTGGAAGGCCAAGACATTATAAAGTGTTGAAAACATTCCAGATCGAACGGCGACGATGCCAGAAACATCCTGTTCCTTGATTCTGATCAACAAATATTTCATGTTGAAGTTATTACCGAGCGTTTGTTATACAGGTAACAGCTTAATTTACTCTGCGCGTGACCTGAATAGTAAGACACGTGTCAAGGATCCACGCATTCGTGTTGCATATGCGTAGCCTGGTTCTAAACACGGGGACAGACTGGCCCCATCATGTGTCACTAAATTCATCTTCGACACTCACATGGGTGTAATTTTGCACTAGGATGCCTTTGCTGTTGAACCAGACTCTTTTTATTCCCTAATAAACATACTTCACACCAACCGTACCAAGTTGTATAAATGAAGCCAAAATGCCCCCTCTAAAATGCAGTCAGACAAATCAATCAAACACAACTTTGATAGTCTCTAAAACAATCCTAGTGTGCATTGCAAAACCGGTTCTGGTCACATGTTGTCATCGCATGCTCTAGATCCACATGTCGCGTCTCTGACAGCAGTGATTTGTAACGTGGACGGGCTACCCACGCTAGTGGTAGGCTGCTGTGCACGACGCCTGCGATCCATACCGAGTTTGGGAGCGGCACAGAGTCGAGCAACGCTAGCCCCAGCCGCATTCCGAGATCAGTCTAATATATGTCAACTCTCGCCTTTATGGAACATCACAGGCGACACAATAGTCCCGTTCACATCGCAAAAATTATCCAGTCGCTGTCTGGAGTTCTGTCGCTGTTTGGGCTCAAGGGCGCGTCGACAGCCGTTGTCATTTGCACTCAAACTTTGACTGTGCAGAACTATGTCGTGATATCAAATAAGGTCGCTGTTTTGGGTGTCCAAAGCGTGTCATATCAAATAAAATCGTTGCTGTAGGTTCCAAAGCGTGTCCAAAAATCGCAAGCTGTGCAAAATGAACGATCGCAACACGCAGCGTGCAAAGCAAGTACGCTAGGGAGCTTTCAACCAGAGTCTTGCGGCATTAGAAGATGTCGTAAAGATGAGTACATGATCGTGAAGTCAGTGTTGTTTAGAAATGCAAGGACTGCTGCCACGTCGATGGCGGCGTCCTCGCCTATTAGTGAACGCAGGGGCGATCTATGTTGGCTATGTACAAGTCTTGGCGTCTCGTACTTGGCATGGTGACTTTGCGATGTCCATGGCACTACTCTGCACGGGTGTCCAACCATCACTGCTAATGAAAAACAAACATGCATACAAGTATGCCGAGCAGCGTGATGCCTTAACCTGATATAGCGTTTTCCAGAATGGTTTTGAAAGTGGATAATTGCTAAGTCGGCTCCACGGGTGATGCGTGCTTGCACCTCCCCTAGTGGGGGCGATCCTGTGTTCTGGACGTCTAAAAAGCCGGAGACAAGTAGAGCCGGGATGGCGCGGATCGTAAGAACGACGGTCAGTTGGCGCAGGGTGGGCCGCGATCAGTAATCATGGAGGACACATGCAGAACACGAGCAGGTACGCTCCATTTCTGCATCGTTTCCCCTTAATCTACGCGTGAAGCGTACTGGTGACGCGCACTGCTAAACCTCTGTTGCAGAATAGACCCCAGGTCCCCGGTTGCACCCGTTTGCGATATCATCGAGACTGATGGGACTTTGCCGAGCACACGGGATGGATGTCGGGATCCCACCGCTGCCACCACACTGACCGACTTCGTTGTTGGCCATCCGCGCGCCGATGGCGTAGTGGCGGCCGTACATGTAGATCGCGCCGTCGCCCGGACAGGTCATGGCGTCCCCACGACGGGTCAGACGGCCGATGGCCAGCTCCACACAGCGGTAATACCCGTCCACCCTGCAGCGGGCGCGATGTTACCAACGCTGCATCAGATCAGCGTCGTCGCAGGTCATAAGCAGGGCTGTACACTCATAGAACAACGATAAAGCTAGACACAGTGTCATACCTGACAATCAGTGTCATACATGGGCTATCTTCTCGTTATTGCATCTGTGGTTCCATGTGTGTGTTCTATATACATATCTATGTCGCCCTTTGCGAGGACAGCAAAAAGTCCTAAACGCCATTTACAAGAAATACAAATGTCTGACACGGAACGGATAAGCAAAACGTTTTCATTCATTTCTAGCCTCGATGTTCACATGCATCGCTTACTTTGCAAGTCGCGGAACCACGGAACATACGACGAAGCAGCTTGCAGGGTCAGTGTTAAGGATATAAGGAGATGGAACTGAAAGATCGCTTTCATTAAAATGCCTGCTGGAACACATTGCATGACACGCGTTGAGATGTGAGACATTACATGATTTCTTAGTAATTCTTTTACAATCTGTAAATCTCGCGTTTATGATAATGCGATGTCATAAATAATGTGATGCCCCACATAGCAAAAAATCGAGCCAAGCATGATATATAATAAAAAAGCTCACTGGTGACTATGATATCCTTTTCAGTGAAAAGGACTGTTTTTGACAGCCAACTTTCACTATATTGTAGATATGGACTTCAATTGTCATTGTTAAATCACATCATGTAACGTTTTGATGACGGCAAAGTCACTGCCAGACTGGCAGCGCCAGAACT